TAATAAAACTAGAAAAGTTATTCTACTGCAGAAACAGAAAAAAATTGATTTGCTTGTCATGCAAAGGTCCATGTGAACAATAGTGGTAACTGTTGATGAGATTGTTTTTTCAATGGCTGCAAATGCAGTTATTTTTATTAGATTTTTATACTATAACTTCAAGACATAATTTTTAGGTTTTGTTTTTAATAAGTTTTTATTTTTAATAAATAACACTTGTTATAATTTCAAAACAAGATTTTATTTAAGGGGGGCAGTTTTTACAAATTACTATATTTATTTTTCTATGTCTAAGCCAGTACTCTCAATCTCTAATATAACCATGCACTGAATGCATATGAAAGGACATTTACATGTTTTTTAATAACATGTATTTGTGAAGAAACAAGAGTTAACTGTGTGATTGAAACGCTAAACTAGTAAGTTAATATTAAAACAAATAGCTTTTTCATTATAAAACTGCAGAGAAAATGCAGAATACTTCGTTTTTTTACAAAATAGAAAACAATTTAATGGCAATTACATTTCAAAGAGCAAAATCAGTCACTGAAATACAAACATACCTGATTTTTAGGCAGCAATGCAGCCTTTATTACGCATCATCAAATATAACAAATATAACATGAAGCGGCGGATAGCTGATCAATAACCAGTTAAACACATTTGGATCTATTAAGACAAGGATTAAAAATAAAAGTGGCGGTCATTTAAAACAGAGCTGGTTGTCATGAAGGACTGGGAATTTCACCTCAACATCAGAACTATTTTTTTATGAAACCAAAAAAAACAAAAAGGCAGGAATAATATATGAGCATGTTTATTCAATAAACAAACTATCTACAAATTATTTTATTATTTAATCAGATTAATCCCTTCAGCTCTACATGGGGACTTCAGCAGCTATGATAGACTGAATGATCCAAGAGAAAAGCTGATTTAAATGCCGATGCAACAACATTGTAAACTGTGATTCAACACAAAATACCATTAAATCCCATATCATTATATTTAAACAGGTTACTTTCATACAACATTAGTTTCTGGTATCCTGTTAAAAAGCAGACAGATAACTTTGATGTAACAAGAAAGCTATTACATCATACCAGTATCATTTGGATTAGGCTTCCGAGTGACTGATGGAAACACTGGAATGAATTACACAGCTGATATTAGCTGTGTAATGTAATAGATGATGTTAACAAAGTCAACTAAAAGCAACAAACACATTTGTTAATTATGGAAACACGATTTTAGGGCTGCAACTAACGAATATTTTGCAAATCAATTAATCTGTCGATAATTTTTTTTGATTAATCAATTAATAATCGGATAACCAAAGGTTTCTTAAAGAAGATTTTTTACTAAATGAAACCAGGTGAAAATAAAATCCTAGATGCAAAATGTTTACATGTTTTTTTTTTTTACAAACTTGATATAACTGCTGCTCTAAGTGGGTCGCTATAAGAGCCACAGGCATATTTTACAGTCTAGACTCCATTTAATGATTAACTGATAACTAAATTAGTTGACAATTATTTAAATAATCGATTAATCACGATTCATCGGATTAATGAATTCATATGCAATGGTGATGCAGAAGTAAAAGTAATCATCCATTTAACCACAGCTATATTTACTACTTCACCATATTTTAGACACAATATCCCTACAGAGACAGAAAATCAACAAGAACACAGAATTTAAATGCTTTTCTATAAAGTTTATACCCCTGTGAGTCTATAAGATAAGAAAAGTATATCACTAAACTCAGTCATGGGTTCATCAGTGATGAGATGATGCAGATTTAGTCAGACTACACATAGCCTACAATACATAAGTCACGCATTGCCGCATGGTAGGTAGACGCACCAGCATCCATAAAGATCTGGCTCTCCTTCATGGGACACTCAGCAGCATCGGCATACCGACATTATTCCCCAATTTAGTCTTTGCATACTGCTTCCTATATAGACTTTGCATACTGCTTCCTATATAGTGCCTCCACAGGTGAGCCGTGGAGTGCTCACTGCAAGCTGAGTTGCAAAATAAAGCATTCGTTTTAGATTCCAAAGCAGAAAATCTGAATATTAAAACAATGAAATCAAAATCACAATAGTGATTTAATAAGATTTGAAAATATTAAAAAAGAGGAGATTAGATTAGGTTTCAAAAAGAACATTACACTTAAAAAAAAAACACATACTGAGATACATGTATATATGGGTATGTATATTACCAAATTACCAACAGAATACTCACATGAAAGACACATTTGAATTAAAAGCTTTGATTTAACTATTTAGGAGCCGATTGTTAACACAGTTTTAACGTTTGACATTAACATTTTAATTTGTACCTGCAGGGTGGAGAAAGAGTAAAGACCCTGCATGATTTAAAACCTTATTTGTGATATATCATGACCGAGAACTTGATAATAATTGGTGTTTTATGTGTCAGCACATATTGCTTTGTTAAATGTCAGAGACCTTTAACTCAAGCTACGACCTCTGTCAGATTTCAGATGGAACAGAGAGCAACTGGAGTATTCTGTTTGTGTTACAGTGACTTAATTGGTCCGCCCACCATGTTCTGTCTGTGTGGAACGTGTACACTCAGTTTCTGAGGCAGGCATCCAGATTGGTTAAGACACAGACAGAGCTCCGTAGTTACGCTTGCCTATTCAGCAGCACTGGCTGTGCGTCAGTGCAAACGTCATGTTTGAGCTGCACAGGGAGAGACAGGACGCTGGAGAGGCCTCCTTACATGATGCAGTATGTTGGGGTGGCTGCTGCTGCTGCTCTTAGGCAGATGTGCTGTCATCCTCTGTCCCTCAGCTGCAAGGTGACGGATTAAAGAGAAGTAGCTTTGTCCTTCAGTCCCTCAGCCGTCTTAACGATAGATCCACTCTTATTAGAAATACAGCCAGCTGAAAGAAATGTGTCTCTGCAGAGTGACTGGCATCCACTCTGTGATGACATATAGATTCGAGTCAGTAAAGCTATGAGCCTCAGATAAAAACCTTGATGACTGGCAACTAGTTTCACTGTCTTGCCATTCATTCATGTCTTGCCTGGAAGTTTAGGCTACTGTCCTTTCATTGAGGAGTCTGCAAAAGTTGTTTAGCTGAATATTTGCATGTAAATTACCTTCCATTATATTTTCTTATCATTCCCTCATAATGATTTGAACAATTGTACTTGAGTGAAGAATCACAGAGTCTAATTTGGACAGCTTTGATTTGAGTTAATTAACTGTATGCAGGTTTAGAGAGGCCCAGCGTGACAACCGAATGATAATAATGACAACCACAGTGTTGATGAGAACGATTATGACAATTACAGCCTCTAAATTGACAGGCTCTTAAATCTCATTCAGGCAATGATCTCACGGCAGCAATATGAGAGAAAGTCTTCAAGGGAGATTTTATCTACCTCTGTCAGTATTGTAGGGAAATCCAGAGTCGGTGTAAGGAGTAAGAAAACAAAGCTGCTGCTTTGGATCTCCTGTTCTACAGCACACCCATAAGAGCAACTGAAAAAGATTGGTGATTGCTAACATTTCTTTATTTGTCTGTCATGTGATGGAGTAACAGGTCCAGGTCAGGAAACACTGACATCCGTCTCCCTGCAAACCATCTATATGTAATTTCAGGCAATCCCCAAGGTACTCTGAAGCAAGACGGATATATATTCACACCACAAGTGGCAGAACCTTGTTCTGGTTCTTCCACTTGTGTAGTATCCTCTTGGTGGTATTAATCCTCCAAAAGTAAGCGTTTGTCTTTCTGCATGGAGTTTGCATGTTCTCCCTGAGCATTCGTGGGTTCTCTCCGGGTACTCTGGCTTCCTCCCACAGTCCAAAAACATGACTGTTAGGTTAACTGGCTTCCCTACACTCCCCTTAGGTGTGAGTGTGTGTGATAATGGTTGTTTGTCATGTTTGTCTCTGTGTTGCCCTGCGATGGACTGGCGACCCCTCCAGGGTGTACCCCGTCTCTTGCCCTCGCGACCCCACTTGGGATAAGTGTGTAAGAAAATGGATGGATGGATGGAAGTAAGAGTTCATTTAGACACCCTGATGAGATGCCTGGACCACATCAATTGATTTTTTTCTGATACAGAGAAGCAACATTTCTGTCAAACTTCCACACTTGAATAGGATCATTTCAGGCCCCCCCATCCTGGACATCACTATTTCCTGACTAATATTGTTTATCACATAAAGAGACTAATTCAACAGCTTTATTTATTTATTTGTTTTTTTCTGTTGGCTCACCTACATTTCTTCACCCTTGGATTAGCTTTTCTATTGTTTAAATCATGCAGCTGACTATTTGTTTCTTGTTATCGTTTTCATTTATTCAATTAAACTGTTTTGCCTTTTTTCAAGTGTGATCCCTTGACAGGGTGGTTCTCTTTCTTGAAAGCTCAGCCTAATTTTGCCTCTTCATAGGTGTTAGTTCTAGTAATTATCTAACTAATGAGGATTTTATGAGGGTTAAGCAAAACATGTTCAGCTGTATAGTCAATTCATGTTCACGTTTCCAAGCAAACCATGGATAGGGGACAGAGGGTCAATTTTGGACAAGTACCACCAATAACTAGGGGAACCTTGTTTTAAATAGCTGATAGCTCATGAACAAAAATTTAATCCAGCTTCATAGAGGCATCCATGTTGCTGATGCGACTTAAAGCAATGAAATATTTCCAAGATCCTCCTAAGAACAGACCAAGGAGCATCTCCTCTTTTACCAGAGATCAATAGCATCTCCCTTTAAACGTGATCCGCTTTGATGCAGGTACCAATCCTCCCCTTCTCCCATGCATGTCTCCTCCTTCATCTGTCCTCATCCTAGACTTCATCTCTGCGCGCCGCGCATTTCATCCGAGCAGCAAGCAAACCAGCAGCAGCAGCAGCAGCAGACATTTATGCACACAGAGAACATTGTGCCGAGGACACTCCGGTCAGTGACATCTGAGAGAGAGAGGGAGGGAGGGAGAAGGGGGGAGCTCCTGCTTGGCACACAGCGCCCCTGTGGCAGTGAGACTTTGACTGACTGACTGTCTGACGGATGCTTCTGGAGGAAAACGCAGCTCCTCTGATTCTTTTCACACCTTTTTCTCTGTCTCGTCTGTCATCTCGGTGCGCTCTGATGGTCCTCTAGCCTCTCCTTACCGCGTCTCGCCTCTTCAGCATCGGATTCTGCTTTTCTTTTTTTTTTACCTCCACCTATCTCTCCCCCCTTCTCTCCTTCTTGACTGGCCGAACCGGGGCTGATCCCAGCCAACCTGGGCCGGGCCGTGGGGCTTTTCTGTGAGCCTTATAGCTGAGAGTCGGCACACCCGAGATGCGCGCTTCGGGAGCCGGGATTTGGGCTCTCCCCTCGGCTCTGGGGACCTCTGGCTCGTGGCAGTGCCTCTGGTGGTGGGTCGTGACGGTCGGGGTGACTGTAAGCTCGGGAGAGCCGTGGATGTCCACGGAGCCATGCGCCTCCACTTGCTCCTGCAGCAGCAGCAGGATCTCCTGCGTGGATCCGGAGCGGGGGATCAGCGCGTTCCCTGTCCTGCAGAGCGAGGCGGAGATGGAGAACATCACCGACATGTGAGTGTGGAAGATGACAGAACCGCATCTCAGTTTAGCCTCTTTCCTAACGAATACAGACATGCCAGCCCATAAAGCAGCCTCTGGACACTATAGGACGCTTCCAGGATGGAGAGGATTTAAAAAAACCATGCATGAGTCTTATTGCTCCTTATTGTTTCTGATTGTCCGGGAATGTAAGCAGGAGACCTACAGTGCCTAACTTGCATTGCATAACACACTTAATTGTCTGTCATCACGGTGAGCATCACTCATCATTCACAGGAAGTCTGTTTAAAACAAATCTTATCTCTGATTGGCTTCATGCATAAGAAGCGGTCCACCACTGTTTGCGTTTGTGTGGTTTGGCTGTGCTCTCATCAGACACCACAGTCCAAATATTGGCACAGACACTTCACAAGATGGATAATAGGAGTTCGTTTGAATGATCAGGATGCTGAAGGGGGATTTTGTTAATGCAACGATTTTTTTTTTTTTTTACTCAAAGAAAAAATTTTATATATACATTTGCCTTTGGAGCTGAAGTGCATTTTAGATAAGAAAAGCTGATTTTTAAAATTTTTTTTGGCATAGGTAAAAGCGGCCTTGTTGATATGACTTAAGTTAGATAGGAGCAATCCTTATCACTGGCCTTGGAGAAGCCTTGGAGGCGGTTTAAATGAGCAAGGGAAGCAATCATAGAGCGTTTGGCTGCAGTTTAAACCCAAAACGACCTTGCCAAAAGCCATGAAGATGGTTTAACTGGTCTCTAATAATTGCTAACATGTCCTGATTTTCTTTCTTCTTTTTTATGTGCATCGAGATGTCAGCACTTGGTCAACATTTAATGAGCTGCCAGTCCAAACTGGGCAATTACTCTAGAATGCAGTGGGTAATGAAGTGTTATATCTGTCATAATTTTACAAAATGCTATTTCTTGGCCAATATATTCAATGAAATTCAATGCAAAATGTATTTAATCATTAAAATGGCATTAAAAAAAAAGATATTACATAGACTTATGAAATATTGCTTAGAGCATAAATCGTTTACTTTCTACATACCTTATCTTCAAAACACTTTTTATACAGAAAAGATTTGCACATTTTATGGCTTTTATTATTTCAAACAAGCACATATGACCATGCACGTCAAATCAGCCAACTATTTATCCTGCATCTTGCTGTGCACCTCTAAGGACCCAATATTTACCTGTGCTTGAAGAAAATATAATCTATTACTGTTGTAGATCAGCTGAGAAATGACTGAAACAATGTTTATCTGTATGAACATTTCTACATACACTAAAATGTAAATGTTTCATTCAAAATCTTTTTACTTACTGTGCATGATTAGAAAAAGCAAAGAAATAAAGAATAAAATAGTAAATGTAAGCCTGATTTCCAGAGGGTTTTATGTGGAGATAGCCAGAGTATTTAAGCCAAACAGCAATCACTGCTATACAGCTCTTGTATCTCAGTGAAAAAGCTCATTCTTGGCTTTCTCCTAGTGTTTTGCTTAGCTTGAAATGTTAGACATCTAATCCCATAGCTGTATTATATGAGAAGTACATATGCTGCTCTTCAGAACATGCTCACTCAGTGCTTTTCAGGCACACATGGGAGCTGCTCGCAAAGCATCTCCTGCTGGTCCCTCAAACACAAACGGGTCAAGTGTTTTGCTCAGATCCTGCTGTGGAAAAAGGTCGAGGACACATCTGCTTCCCCTCTCTAAGAAGCTATGCAGCAAAATTTCCATGTGCGCTGTGCATCATTTGCAGTCACTTAAAAAATGTATAAAAAAAAAAAAAAAAAGATCTGTGTTTATGAAGGCTTAACATGTCTTGTCAACAAGTCTCTGTCTACGATTCCCCGTGTTAACAAGTTATCTTTTTGTTATGCACGCTTGTCTCCCGGACAGTTACATCGCAAATCAGAGCAGCTTCTCCTCCATTAACGACAAAGACCTGCACTACTACAAGAACCTCAGGAACCTGTGAGTCCATTATGATATTATATCAAGAAAGAACATTTATTTGTAAATGTGTAAAATTCTGTGTCAAAATACTGTCTTTTTGTTTTAACAGTTTATAAACATATTTATTAACTAGTTAATAGGTATAACTACTTATTTTAGCTTAAGAAATTAATACCAAGTGTATGTGTTTAGCTGATATAAATTCATATAATGTTTGGACTCAGTTACAGAACATGTTCACAGCATGAAGAGACTTCTAGTTCTTAATAAAACTAAGTTCAGTTTGAATCTCAGACCTGGGCCTGTTGGTGCTTCCTAGCTTTGTGTTACATAAAGTGAACATATTTTTGATAATTATTGCTCATCTGTTGAAGACCAATAAAGCAATCTTTTATTAAGAAAAAGGACAAGCTTTATTGCTGTAATAAAGACATTGTTCTCAGTTACGCGGATGGTGACTTAATCAATATGGTTCTTTTTAAACCCAAGTACACATTGTTTACACAAGAGTGTCCCAATATGCCACATTTTTTCGGACCTCTGGCAGATTTACGGAAATCATTTATTTGATGAAATTTATCCTGGTCTAAAGCTATGTTAATGTTTTAGAGCTCTATGGTCAGAGTCCCATTTTCAATCAGTAAAGAGAGGTAAAGATAATGGTTATGGCAGAGAGGCCATCCAACTCCAATTATTGGGATCCCATTAACAAATATAAATCCCCATGAATACTGTTGAAAACAAACAAAATCAGCCTGTCAGCACTTAGAAGAAAGATTTTATTTCTGTAATGGGCAGGGGTGGATCTACGGGGTGGGTAGGGGTGGCCATGGCCCAACCTTTGCCAATCATTGGTTTATTCTTGGGCTGCCCATCCCAGATGATTTATTGTCCCCTTGTGGATGTAGTTGAACAAGCAGTTCCAATCTAAAACATAGGGTGGCAGCAGTCATTCTCTAGAATGTTGTAACTAATTTTACATTTTAATTATTAATATATTAACCATAAACTGACATGAAAACACAGTAATGAAACATTAACTTCAAGATATTATTATTAAATATGATAAATACAGAATTCATCCTCTGTTCAGAAGTATTTTTTTTTAAAGGGAAAGGTTTGTATCTAAAGAAGAACAACAGCTAAATTCATTTAATGTTTTTATTACCCAGGGCTATAAATTATTGCTTTTAAATATGCTAAGGTGTCAATATTTATTATATTATGCTTCATGAATATCTAGTATGTGTTTATTTATTTATTTTTTTTAAAAATATGGATGTTAGGCCCATTATATATATATATATATATATATATATATATATATATATATATATATATATATATATATATATATATTATATTGGTACACTCTGATTAGGTGTCCCGATTTACAGCAGCGTTTTTCTAAAGTCTTTCTCTACTAATGCATTACAGATCAGTAGGCTTGTTTTCTGGAAATGTTTTCTTTTTGGAAGCTTTTTTTTCTTATTCTAAATACCCCAGAAAGTGCCCTATAATCTACTGCAATGTTTTTCATGCAATCAGTAATGATGATATGTCAGTTTTTAATGTTCTCAAGTACTCTGATGATACTGATGTGATTGTTTGCCCTGTCAGAACGGTGACCAACAGCAGGCTGACATATGTATCGAAGCTGGCGTTTCAGAGCAACTTAAAGCTACAATACCTGTAAGTAAAAATCGTTTTCTTTTAAAATCACAAAGACTGCCGAAATATGTTATTAACCCTTTGAGGCTTTTTTATCAGGGACTTTTTGATATGAATATGTGAAAGAATTTCCATTTTGCTAAAAGAGCAGGATTTGAATTTGCGGTTTAATATATCTGTGTCTGATGATTATATAACATAGTATGCTATCATATCATTTTTATTGAGTATTGCAACATGTAAAAGACATATTTATTTTATAATAGAATTAGCCACCAAGGCAAGAAAAGACATGAAGGTTTATTTATTTATTTAAATTGGATGCAAAATTACTGAAAGTATGTTTTCCTGATTGGGCAAAAACGCTAAATGAGAACATTTGTGTGGGCAAAATGGTTTACTTGGTAAAGTATTTGAATGTTATGTTTCCACTAAATGCAATTTACTGACATTTGGTTTACTCTCCAGGAATTTGAAAGACAACAACTTGTCATCCCTCGACTGGAGGGTATTCAAGCACCTCAACATCTCATATCTGTGAGTTAACTGAAACCTTCACTATCTTCTTCTTCTACGTGTTTATCTGTTTCAGATAAACTGGCACACACAGGATAGGATCTCTGATGTCATTTAAAGTTTTAATTTGGGCTTATTTTCTGTCAATTTTAAAAAGATTGTTTTAAAGCCTAGATTTAGCTGGCAAAGATATTAGATCAAAAGGCAATCAGGATCCCGCTGAACAAGCATGCCTCATAAAATACCTGTCAGGATCAATGTCTCTCATTGTTGTGAGAAGTGTTTAGATAGTATATTGAGGTGCAAAATATACCCCCCATGCTTTCCTAAAGAGAGCATTTACAGTTACCTCATAGTGTCTGATTATGTGAAACAGTTTCTCTGAACTTCCCATAATCCTCTTAAATGAGCTGGTTTGCACTTGCAGGAAAAATATAATTGGGTTTTCTGGAGGAGAATTAGATCAGCAGGATTGATAAAGCTCTTATATCTGTCTGCAGAAAGAATAGCAACATCTGGAAACAGCTTGTCTTTGTCTCTGAGTGGCAATCTAATGAGCTAACACGTTCCAATGTAGAAGCCTCAAGAGGGAGAAAAAGTCAGCAGGTCTTAAGAGCGAGAAGGACTAATATATAAAAACCCCATTCCTCCAATTTTTTAGAGATAGTTTCACCAAATGAATGTAATTAACTTGCGCATTCTACTGAAATATTTCTCAAAATTCTGATTCCCAAATCCAAAATACAGTTCTAGAAAAAAAAAATTAGAGACTAATGTTTTTGGTTTTGTTTTTAAGTCCATGACAATAATTCAAACAACAGCCCTATTTTGCTAAATGATTACAGATGAGTTGATCACCTCTACCCAAAAACAATATTAAAGACCAATCAACAGTATTTCAAAAAATTAACTACTCCACCTTGACAATGATTTCTCAACCTAAAACCCGAGCTTTATCTTTAGAAACTGACATGTACAGTAGTGTAATGATATATACAGTCAGCAGGGTGAGGGCTGGGCCTGTCCTGATCTTAATGGCACTCCTGATGAATCTCCTCCTGTAAATGTCGTCAGCAGCAGGAAAAGGGGCCTTGATGATGTACAGGGAAGTTTTCTCATCTATTTTCAACATTTTCCCCTGCAAAACTTCCCATACCAAGTTTTAAAAAATGGATGTTACGCCCTCCTTAGGCTGCAAACACCCCGCTGTTACTGTTCATCCGTATCTCTGAACCGATATGGTTTGTCCTCAAAATCTGTATGCTGACATATAAAAAGATGTAGGAAATGTTGGTCTCAGTATGCAAATATAAAAAGGTTTTTGTAAAGTGTTTAGTTCTATTATTTCCTTAAAGGTATAGTGGAAGATGTTCTTTTTCCAGGAGGATCATAACAATAAGTAGTCCTCCTAATTGTCAATCATTCTGGTGATATGTTTACATAAGGCCATCCTACGTTCTCTTGTGAGTCTGACATAGTGAAAAAATTGCAAAATTGGAAAGTAAGCTTGTATGAGCGATGTAAACAGCAACTTTTAAACAGAGCGTGCACGAGGAGAAATGGGCTTGTGCATGGTCTTGCACGCTTTCAATAAACATTCTTACTATGGAGCGGGTTGGGTTGTGCTTGTTAATTTCTTTTTAAGTGGAGAGGGCGAGTCTTTTAAAAAATTCATGAAGATCCTCCACAATACCTTTAATATGTGTGTTTTGTTTGTTAATTGTCCTCAGTCTAAATAGCGCATGTGTTTTAGGATGAAAGGTGTGGAATTCTGCTTCATCTGGATATGTGGAACTTTATGTAGCATTTTTGTTGCTTTTTGTAAAATACTTGCTAATCAATGAGACATTTGGAAGAAAGGTTTTAATGCTATATGACTTCTTCTAAATTTACAGAAATCGATTTGCCAAATTAAATAGAAATACAATAATGAAACTCTTTTTAATGTCGTTTTTAACTATATAGCATACATGTTAATGAAAATTCTGCATAGGATCCCAGGAACAAAGAACTAGAGCTTTTTGTTAACAGAAAACTGCTAGAGCTGTCAAACTTATTTCACTCGAAAAGGCAGTAAACAGTTTATTTACTGTAACTGTAGGAAGTTCTTATGATTCTCATGTTTGGGGCATTTTGGTTAACTTGCAAACAGGATATTAATGGGACCCGTTAAAAACAAGATTACCTCAAATATCTTAGGTTTTTCTCAGGATGGTCAAAAGAGGAGATCAAAAAGTTACCCTTTAAGTTTGGGTTACACTTTCTTATTTTGCTTCTCAGTGTTTGTCAGGGTTCTTCACTTTGTGTGTGTTTATGTGCCTCCAGAATCCTGTCAGGGAACCCTCTGCATTGCTCCTGTGAGAACATGTGGATCAAGCTGTGGTTAGGAGAGGAAGCACAGGACCTGCGCTGCATAGAGGATGGAGGAGCTCGCAAGCCACTGTCAAGACTGACACTGCCTAACTGTGGTGGGGACACACACACACACATATACTTGTTCTGCCATCGTAGTGAGGACCATTTGTTGACTCCCATTGACTTCCTTTGATTTTCAGTCATTTTCAACCCTTTCTATGCCCTAACCCTAAAATTAACCCTAAACCTAACCATTACCAATGCATACCTCACCCTAACCGTAACCCATTGACACCTTTACTCTAAACCTAACCATTAGCAAAATAGCAAGTGAGGACTGGCAAAATGTCCTCACTTTGCAACATCTGGTCCTCAATTTGATGGTGAAATTGGCAAAGAGGCAAAGAATGAAAAAAGAAAAATCCACAAGCTGTTCAGCACCTACTGTTAAGCTACCTTAATCGAGATGTTTGTACGAAGTTCCTCTTTTTGAAGAAATATTTGGCTTCTTTTCTGTGTTAATGCAATCTTAATCACATGTTGCCAGGAAGTGTTAGTATTTAAGCTCAGGCTGAGAACTGGTACTGTGAACCAAACATGCAAAGTCATTTGTCAGTTCACAGTGGGTGTTGGGAATGTATGAGCGAATAAGGAAGCTTTGCTGTTATCACCTAAGAGAATAACAGTACAAAGAACACAATTCACACAGCGACAACAGCCTCTGCAGTAATCAGTTATCTGTATCTGCTGTTATGTGTGTGTATGAGTGTGTGTGTGTGTGTGTTTGCACAGGCTGCAAGGAAAATGCTGCCCACACTTTACTTCAATTACACAGAGCTTTGCTTAGCTTGTATATTCTAATTTCACCCCTCCACATACGCACAAAAGGAGGAGGGAAAGCTGTGATGTCCTACACATCAATGCCCTGAGAAATGAGCAAAAACGGAAAGAAAAAACAACAAGCACGGAAGGAATTGGAGTGTAGATGCTGATTGCTGCTTTATGCTACAAAATTATATAGGGAGTTTGTTGGACTTGATTAGGTAAAGAAATAAGAACATTTTCAGAGATGTTCCAAATCATAGGAAATACCTGCTGGTTGGCTAAGAAAGGACACTACAAGAAAAAAAAATAAAGATTAACTCTAGACAATGTGGAAAAAGGAAAAAAAAGGAGCATCTGTACTTTGTCCTTTATTGGTGGTCCATTTTCTTTTCTTTCTGACATCATACAGTAATGTTCACTGCATCAAAAAAATAATCTCTCCAGTTTATATATATAGTGAGTTGCATGAAAACATTGTACTGCAATACTCCTATTACATCCACTTAACTGTAAAAAACCACTAAAACATGCACAGAAGCAGTATATGCATTCGCTATTAGGAATAATGTGTATAAATATCTAACAGCGCAGAGATTGATGCACAAGTGTATTATGAACCTTACCCATAAGTTTTCTCTCACTGTAAGGCAAACCTCTACAGGCCTTATGCCTTTTATTTGCTGGCATAAGGAAATGTTTATCAAGCATGAATGTATAAATGTCAGCAGTTAATTGATACTTTATTCCTGTCTGCTGTATATATGCAGCATGAATTTTTCATGAATCTTCTTTTTTTGGACCCTCTTCTGCTCATAAACAGGGTCAAATTACAGATTGAACCGTCTGAAAAGTCTGCATTGGATCAACTCTTGATCCTTTTTCATTTTAGCATTCTATCAGTATCAGAATAAAACTGATTTAGCATAATGATATAGAGTTTGATTTTTTTTTTTTTGTTGATAAGAAAGCTGTTAGAATTCTTTTGGGTAATCATAAATATGACCTATATCATTCTTTCAAACTAAAAAAAACTTTTGTTTTTTATAATTAACATATTGTGATATTTTAAAATATATAGAAACAACTCTAAACAAACCAAGTATCATGGGATCAGTGTATTACCCACACATCACGCAGATTAAAAGGATGTCTATGATATCAAAGCTTCTAGCAAGAGTATGAGTATGAGATTTGTACAGTAATGATATTAACTTGTAGACCTGACAGACTGGTGTCCTACTCTGAGAAAACCCAGGGCTACACAGATTTTGCAATAAAAGTTAAAACTTTTCTAGACATTACAGCAGTGAATGGAAGCAGGTCTATTTTACAAGTATGGGTTTACCAATGCCATGCTGTAGCTTTCAAACAGTGTTGTGAAAACATAATCTGCTACTTGCACTGCGTAGTTTTGTCTGTAGATAATTTTATTACCACCAAATGTAATTTTAATCTGTAGAGACTTACACAGAGAAAAGCTGTGCTTAGAAAGGTTTTATTAACATGAATGAAATACATAAGTTATTTGGCACTCAGGCCCCGGCAGAAAAATCGAGATTAGCTTGGATGAGTAACCTAGAGAAGAATTAGAGTAGTCCTCCCCAGACACTAGTGGTGCAATAAGCCAGACTGTGAGTAGGACTGAGAATTGTCTGAGAGTGAGTGAGGAGATGGGGTGGAAGTGGGTGAAAATTCGCTGCCAATGCCAGAGAGAAGCTGGTCCAAGAGCTAAATGAAGGCGATCTTGAAAGATGATTTGCTTCGGAGGAGGTGCGGTCATCGTTGATTGGCTGAAGCCTGGACGAGGGACATAAGAGTCTTCTAGATTAAATTTTTGCTTAAATGTCATTTTGCTGTGAAAGTTCACTTTAAAGGGAAAATGTGTAAGATTTATCACCATCTACAGTATGTACAATACAGTACAGTACAATACAGAGGAGGAGTGTTGGCCTAGATGGCTAGAGAAGGTTGAAGCTTTGAGAAGGTTGCAAATACCCAGTTCGATCCCCACAACCTGCACTCTGGGTACCTGAGCAAGACCCTTAACCCCACACTGTTCCCTGGGCGCTGCAGAGTGGCAGCCCACTGCTCCCCAAGGGGATGGGTCAAATGCAGAGAGTTAATTTCTCCATTGTGACATAAATAAATTTCAATTTCTAAATGAATCACAAATGACAGACTGGGGCGCGGCCTTCTCTTTGAGATCTACTATTAAGCCGCGGAGTGACATCTACTATCAACAGCCAATAATTGTTGCATCTGAGCTTGTCCAATGTAGTCTAATAAACTGGCCTTATCTGCCTTGTTTCTAACATAACAGCAAAATAAACTTCAGTGTTATGTTGAATCACTGCACCTATCAACAGGAAGCGTGTGACCTCAGTGTCAACTTTGAAGTTCACTCCCTCATAAATTGCCTCTACCTGATAAAATCTGCACCAATGTTGTATTTTTTCCTGGTTATTAATTTTTTTACCTTTATTTGATTTGTTTGTTTTGCCTCTTGCATAGAAAGTGGAAGATTGAATGATACATAGTTGTTTTTGCTTGTTTTAACTCGGCCAAGAGGTTTGTCCTCTTTCGGTTTCTCTAATCAAACATGTGGCACAACATGCTCCCATTGTGTGCACCGCCCCTTATGTGTTTATACACCACTACTTCTAAGCTATATGAAAATGCTCTCAATTTTTATATCATGTAACCAGACTTTCACAGACTATGTATTTATTAAGGCATTGCTAGATTTTTGCTAATAAACACCAATACACCCTGTCAATTTAAGCTAATAGCATTATTTAAAATTTTGAAAATAAATTTGAAATATATGATTTGGTTTAGACAGTAACAAACAATCCTTGCTGCAGCTTTTTATTGTGGTTGGAATGTCTAGAGAGAGCAGTAACTGGTCATCAGCAGAGAAAGAGAATACATAAAAATACACTCTATGGGTTTATTAGCCCCAGAAGCATATTGCTGTTCCTGACTGGTTAGCCGCTGTTTCTGTAGAGCTGTCTGTTATAGCCCTGGATTAAACTGTGTTGTGTCCTTGATCCTTAGCTTTGGAAGCTCCTTCAGACAAAAGCCTAATGCAGAAAAAAATACTACACATCCCTTATTTCCCAATAGGAAATTTGTTTTTGGAAATATCCTGTTTTATATTTTCAATAACAGGCTGTTGAGCCCTGCTGCTACATTTGCATTGTCATCATCCAAATAGTAATTATTCCACCTATGCTCTTTTTTTGGTGATCTATTAAATGTAACTACTGTATCTGTTTGAAAAACAGTGCAGAAGCCACTTAGGATTTCTGCAGCAGGAGTATAGATTTAGGGGTTTTCTTGCTTGAACATTTGCCATTTGTGCTTTTCTTGCTAAATCAAAACAAAAAAATCTGATGATGTATGAAGATGGATTATTACTACAGTATGTCTTTAACGACAGTGCAAACTATCAGAAATTGTCCGGGGCACTCAGGACAGAAACAATAAGTCTGCTTACCGGAAGCTAATAGTGTCATTGATAACTCCTATTGATCTCTCCCCTCTGCATACCCTCCATTAACAGAGGTTATTTTTGGCATTAGCATAGTCCCAGCTTGGCCCCTTGGGAAGTGGTCAGGGCACCCCCGTGTTGAGTGACATATGAATAGGAGGGCATGGAGGGAAAGGAGTGCAGAATAATGCCCAAGGGCTAACTGTGACACACCAAAGGACCTCTCAGCCTTCCAAACTGCTGGTTTTTGTGCCTCATCAGTATTTCTCATTTACCATTTGTCTGTCTGGTTCATGTGTGTCTCTGTGTCTGTGAGCATTTCTGACTGACACTGTGAGGGAGGCACAAAAGAGAGGAAATGCCCAGTGAAGCCCCGGGGCTGGGCTGACACCGATCTCTATCTGTGTGTCCACCAACTGAATACTGCCAGATATGTGCTCTAAAAAGCTTGCTGAAAAGGGAGCTGACTGATGCAGTTTATTACCATTCTGAGTTTACTACAGCACTGCTCATGCAATATAAAATCTAATCCACTGTGTGACACATAAGAAATTGCAGAGTTCAGATAGTTGCAGGTGTTAAAAGGCTCACACTGTCTGAAACAATAAAACTGACACATAAAACTTATGAACTCCTCAGCACTGCATAATTTGCTTCTAACACTCTATCAGCGGTACGTGCCTTACTTACCAATTTAACAAAAAAAAAACAAAAAAAGAATGTTTTTGGGCTGTTTTAAGTTTGCTGAAGTCTGCATAGTTCACCAATGAAGTACTGGCTAAAGGTTGGAAGTTC